CGGGACCTCAAGTTGGGCGGGAGGCAGGACCGCTTGATTGCGGCTCATTTCCTTGGCATTGCCACATCCATCTGCCCACATCCATCTCTAGGTCGGAGGCTTCTTGGCAGATGCGAATGCCTGGAGATGGATCTTTTGGTTGATGTGTATGCAAGCGATGGTATTCTGGTCGCTCTGCTTGATGCTTCAGCGAGAATCCTACGTTCCCGTCTTGGTCGTTCGAAGGGCCTCCGTTCTGCGCCAAACGACGGGCGACGAATTGATTCGCGCGCCGCTGGAAATGGAACCGCTAAAGGTCAAGGATGTGATTCATACGCATATGCTTAGACCTCTTACCATGCTCGTCACCGAGCCTCCGGTCATGTATACCGCTACCTGGATGGGCTTCTCATAGTGAGTCAGCCGCATGCCGACAACAGCATCACCTTGCTTGCCCGCAGCAAAAGATCAGACGCGAGCGCTCACGTCTTGCCTCTTTCGTCGCTCGTCGCTCGTCGCTCGTCGCTCGTCGCTCGTCGCTCGTCGCTCGCGCTGGCGCTCAACAGCGGTCTCATCTTTCTATACCTGGAAGCCTTTCCGATCGTCTTTGGAAAGATGCACGGTTTCAACGCTGGTGAAGTCGGTTTGTCTTTCTTACCCTTGGCCATCGGCATGGTGCTCTCCTTTCCCGTCGTCGCACACTACAACAAGCGCTACCTGCGAGCACGACAAGCTGCAGGCAAGCCAGTTCCAGAAGCGCGGCTGAGCATGACGTGCCTATCCGCGCCATGTTTCGCCATCGGTCTGTTCATGTTCGGCTGGACCTCCACTCCAAACATACACTGGATCGTGCCCATGATTGCGGAAATCCCACTGGGACTGGGCTTGATCTTTGCTTTCAACAGTTTGGGAGTCTACGTGAGCGAATGCTACCTCAGCTACGTCGCTTCCGCACTCGCCGCAGCCGCACTCTCCAGATCCTCCTTTGGCGCCTTTTGCCCCTTATTCGGTAGGCCCGCTTTCGAGTGGAGCGTACCTTACATGTGCTCCATACTGGCAGGCCTTTGCCTCCTCGTCTCTCCTGTTCCTTTTTACTTTTCAAAGTATGGCCCGGCACTTAGAAGACGAAGTAAGCTTGCTATCAAGTAGAGGCCAAGACGAGAAGCGAGCGAGCGCACTCTGTAGAAATTCCTTGCCCGCGCTGCTCTGCTCTGCTCTGCTCTGCTGCCCCTTTCGAATCGAATAGGACCCTCTCTCTCTCCTCAAGCCGACGCGTCCCCACCCCCCCGCACGTTCCCACCCCAAACGTCGCCCTTTTGTACACCACTCAATCAATCATAGACTTGCAAATAGATTTCTTGGTCCCTTCTCTTCTCACTTGGATGTGCGATTGCCTTCAGATCGATCGCACATGAGCGAGTAGGAGAGGTACGAAGGGTGGATACGGAGGGACTCGCATGATGGAGACTCAGTCACAGTTCAGCAATGCGGTACGGTAGGTATCACAATTAAAGTTCGCGCTTGGGCGCCCGCACAAATACGCGTGCACCGCGTGCACGCACCCCGCCGGCGGGCCGCGGGCAAAACGCGGTCGGTCGCGTTCCCCGCGGGGCCGCCTGCTTTGCGCGAGATGCGAAAAGCTAGCTGCGATGGATGAAAAGTCAAAGTGCGGATCATAGCGTCTTGAATCCTGGGATTTGTAATCACGAATTGTAATTGTGTGTTTTGGGAAAGAAGAGTCGTGGATTCAAGATTGATATGAACGCTTTGGCCCGAGTGGGGATGGATCTAAGTAGACCTGAGTTGAATCTAATGAGGGCTAAGTTGGTTTCGAGTAGACTTGAATTAGATCTAAGTAGACGTAAGTCAGATCTTAAGTAGACTGAGACGTAAGTTCGTTCTAAGGTAGACCCATGCTAGATTCAAGATTGAGGTAGACCTGACTTAGATCTAAATTAAGAGACCTGCTTGAGATTATTCTAATGACTTGCTTTACACCGCCGTGATTGTTGTAGACCTCATTTCGAAGCGGAACGCGCTAAGAAAGCAAAGCAGCAGCACAGCACACCAAAGAAAAAAAAAAAAAAAACCTTCGAGCCGCGCGCTTAGGACGCGTTGCAGGTTGATCCGAAGACTCGGAGAAAGGTTCAAATAGCCAACCACCCTCACGCCTTGCTCATTCCCGTCTCCCCATTCCAACTACAAATGCGCTCAAGACTCTCCCTCCAACCGCGGACCTCTAGGCCCTCATTGTCAGTGTCAGCCCGACCCCGGGCCTGAAGGCGCGCCCACTCGAGTCCCTTTTCCCCCGAGTCGAATGCATCGCGCAGCGTTCCCTTGGACGAAGGCATCCAGTCGCTTTCAAAAGTGGTGTCGCAAGTGTTGCAGATCGTGCGACACCGCTTCACACCTCTACACTCTGTCGGGCTTGTTTGTGCGCGCATCATGAGTCAGACGAGTGTGATGGCGTTTGCAGGGCAGCTGCAGCAAGCCAGCAGCAGTGGCGCACGACATGGTCAAGCGGTCAGTCAAAGTGCACCCTCCACGCCTCGGCACACGTCCAACAACAGGAGCGAGAGCGCTCTCGCCAAGCTCAGGGCGTTGCAGACGCCACCCTCTCAGCGCACCAGTCCAGCTTCTGGCAAGCGTGCCTTTGAACAACTTGCTTCACACCCATCATCAAAAACTCACACTCCCACTCACACTCCCACTCAAACCAAGGAAGAGCGCGTCAAGCCGACATTCACTTCTGTCGTGGAAGCGGCTGAACGTCAAAGGCTAGAGTCGGAGCTGCAAGAGATGCTGAGCAACCCTATACGCTTCCAGACTACCGAATTCAAGCCAAGAGCTGTCAAATATACGCCTATCAATGGCGTGCACAATGGGCAGGTTAATATTAAGCGGGCAGAAGGGGCGGCAGGCAATGGCGAAGCGGGTCCATCGAGGGTGAGTGTCGATTGTTTGGCGAACGCGCACAAAGTGGCCCTGTAGCCTTAGCTGGATCCATTCTACCCCCGCTTCTCAGTCATCACCAATGCCCAACCGCAAGCGCTTGCGAACAACGTCGGAGCTCTCAGACGAGGAGAGGGAGCGCATACATGCCTCTCCCCGCGGCACGCCTTCCTCGAGGTCGTCGGATGGGAGCACAAAGGAGCTGTATGCCCACAAGCTATCTCTCAAGATGCCTGGCTCCGTCGGTGCTGAGGGGGCAGGATTGCACAACTTTGGTGAGGGCATCAGGGGTCATGCCGCTTCTTTCTGGATGATACGCTGCTATTGCTCACTTGCTCAGCTGCCCTGTCATCCCGGATCAAAGGCAACACCTGCTACCTCAACTCCGTCTTGCAATCCTTGGTGCACATTCCTCCTCTCGCATACACGCTACTGGAGCACAATCTGTCACAGCTTCGCGGTCCGCTAGGAGGTGCTACGCGTCCTTTCGATGCGCTAGAAGCGATGCAAGAGGTGGCGCATAGGATCCTCGTCCAGCGCAAAACATCTGCTCCTTCCGAATTTCATCAGAAGCTCAAGTCGTACGCCAAGACGCTTAGAAGGGGTTGCCAGGAGGATGCGCACGAATTTTTGAGGTTCTTGCTAGAGGCCATGCAAGCCGCTTGTCTAGTCAGGGCAGCGGGAAGGCTGTAAGTAGTCATCCGCGTTTGCAATCCGTCGCGTCGCGCGCAGAGACTGACGCTGCTTGGTCCTTTTATTTCGTTTTCGTTTTCCAATTTCGTCGGCTCGCTTGCAGCAAGTCAGAAGATCCATTGAATCGCACCACGCTCGTTCACAAGATCTTTGGCGGAAGGTTGCGCAGCAGGGTGACTTGTCTCAGATGTCATCACAATTCGGATACCTTTGATCCACTGCTGGATATCAGCGTCGACATTCGCAACGGGGGCTCGACATTGCAAAGCGCGCTCGATGCGTTTACGAGGACGGAGCAGATACACGCGCAGGGAAATAGTCGCTATTTGTGCGAAGGGTGCAAGAAGAGGGTAGATGCTAGCAAACGAATGTCAATAGACGAGGCGCCCACGGTGCTCACTGTGCATCTCAAGAGGTTCACCATCTTTGGAAGCAAAATGTCCAAGCTCGTAGACTATCCTCAAAAGCTCGTGCTTTCTCCGCGCCACATGTCGGAAGGCAGTGCAGCCTCGAAAGCTGCTCAGGGACAGGGACAGAGGTACAATCTCCTTGCTGTGATTCACCACTACGGCAATAGTCCCAATAGCGGGCACTACATTGCGCAGGTCAAGGCACCCAAAGGGGATCGTTGGGTGGAGATGAACGACTCGAGCGTGATGCCCATGAGACCTCCTTTTACCCAAGGCATCGCCAGCGATCGATCCGCATACATTCTATTTTACGTCGCAGAGCCTCAGAGCCTGGCCGACGCCATAAGCGCCAAGCCTTTAGCTGCCACATCCATTCAACGACCTCTGAGCGACGCCTCGCAGCAGCGAGCGGCACCACTTGGTTTGGGACTGCCGCCAAAGCGGAGGCTGTTGCCTTCTGCTAGCGATGAGGAGGAGGAGGAGGAGGAGAAAGACGAGCAGGCTGAAGATGTGGGCGAGCAACACATTGTACAGAGCGAGAAGACGACTTTTGATTTGGCAAAGAGACAGAAGGAGCAAGAAGCGCGCAGCAGTGATCAGAGACACAAGAAAAAGAAGCATAGGCATTCTACGGGATCACTAGCTTCTGCAATGGCCAGCCCGTACGTGACGGGCGGACATGCGGGACGCTCCTCTGCTTTTGGCGAACCTATAAACGGATCCAGCTTTTACGCCTCTGGTGGCCCTGCTGCCAAGCAATCCAGACAGTCGCACGGGATGAATGAAGCTCGATCGCACATGCACATGCACACGCACACGCATTCGCACAACAGGCACTCGTACAGCCATTCTTCGGACCGCATAGACTTTAGACCTAGGTCTATCGATAGAGCGCGAGGAAGTTTCAAGAGCAGGATGAAGGGTAGGTGATACCTTTTCCATCTTGCTCTTCCCCCATCTTCCCCGAGCCGCGCCGCGCCGCGATGCGACGCGAACGACGAAGATTGCCCCTTTGATCCCGATCCCCCATCAGCATCTTGCTTGCTCTCCCTCTCTTCTCCCCCCTCTCAATGGAGATTTCACTCGCTCTAGCTCTAGCTCTCGCTCTCAACTCTCGCTCTGCACAATGTCACCCTCTCATCAACTCACCTCGACGTCCGATACATTCAAATGTGAATCTTTTTTTTTTGCGTTTGCGTTTGCCCCCCCCCCACCCCCCCGCGTGCCAAGTATGTGCCTGTTGCACCTCGAGGCGCGCTTCTGCTCTGCAGTCAGTTTTCCGCGACCACGGAATGCCATCGACGGCCATGCACACCGTCGCCGTCGTTTGGGGGCGAAACTTTTGGCAATACTCTTGACGAGATTATTGGCCATGCCCTGCAGAGCCAGAGCACCATGGCAAGCTTTATCGCGCACTCGTGTTGCGCCCCGTGAGAGTCGTGTTCGTGTTCGTGGTCGTGGTCGTGGTCGTGGTCGTGGTCGTGGTCGTGGTCGTGGTCGTGCTGCAGACGGACGTTGTGCTAGGCGAAAAAAAAGGAAGGTCTCCTTGAGCGCAACCCCTCCCCCCACCACATGGCCCGGCTTTGAAGGGAGAAAAAAGGGAGAGATGAGAAAGTGAATACGAATACTTTTGGTCATGTGGGAGGGATATGATACATGTACCAAGTGTGACCTTTCGACAGCTTTCGACGGTATGCTCGGGAAAAAGGAAAGGAAAGAGCGGGAGAAGAAGAAGAAAGGGCAGAAGAGGCAGGCGCAAGAGGTATGGCAAGGGGGGCGGGGGGGCCAAGAAAGCGCTTTTCCAAAAGCGTTCGAATCTCTGCGGCGCACGTTCACACATCTGGCCCTTCCCCTACACACCTCCCTTCCCATTCACTTTTTTCGCTTCTTGTTCTTGTTGCTCATTCCTTCCTTGTCCTTGACAGATTGTTCCCTCTTCAGCTCCGCAGCTGCCGCTTGAGCAGCTGCCGCTTCCTTTCTTTCCACCTCCATGCGCGCAGTGCACTGAGAGCAGTACCACGTAGCAGGCAAAGGTTTCTCCAAACCCGGTACGCACTCCAGATGGAACCAGCCTGCAAAAGCGGGGGGAGGGGCAAAGAGAAACAACAGGGATGCATGGGCAAAGACGGATTTGATGAGCTTCGAAGCATCGTGATGGAACGCCCAAAAGCAAGCGATGCTTGGGGGGAAGAATGTGTGGGCAACAACAATAGAGGAGAAAACTCACCGATCGGACAATCGTCGCTGTCGCAACCAATCATTTCCCCAAAACTGGGTCTCTGACAGGTACAGTACAGCTCACCATCCTTCTCCATATCCTCTGCGGTAGATAAGCCCGAGATGCCGTCGGACAGAGCGGAAGCGAGAGAGTTGGCATGTTTATTACCGATGGTGCCCGTAGTTTTGCGTCCCATGCCATCCGTCTCCGTACCACCTTCCAACTTTTTCGGTCTTCCCACATTTTTTCTGGATAGCGAGCCGCCTGCTGCTGCTCCGATGGCCAGATTGGAGGAGAGAAGCGACTTGTCGCCGCCGTTGCCGCTGCCGCCGGAAGGAGTGGAGGGTGTAGCGAGACGTGCCAAGCTTGATATGCCTCCCCCACCACCCATCGATGATCGACCGCTCGCACCGCTTGCAGCAGCTGTTAGAGTGATATCCTTTTTACCCATCAGCATCGACGTTATGCCCGCAAATGGTGAAGCGTGCCGACTTGTGCTGGCTCCTGGAGTTGTTGCTGCAGCCGCCGCCGCCGCCGCCGCAGCAGCAGCAGCAGCAGCAGCAATGTCTGCTAGATTACCACCATTGGCCAAGCCGCCCAGCGAAGGTAAGCCAAGCGTCGCGTTCTCCGCACTTGCTGCCAATCCCATGCTGGTCATTGTGCTCTTGACAAGATCCGCATTGACCTTTTGCAGTTCCTCATTGAGCCTTTTCAGATGCCCATCCACGCTGCGCCATAATGCCAAGGAAAGAGCAGCTTTGCTTTCCGACCAATCATCTGCCCGCTTGTAATCCGATCGGATACGCTCTGCCAATTTCTCGGCTTTGAGAGAGTCGGATTCGCTCAAAGGTCCCGTGCCTGGCGCGCTGCTGCTACCGCTGCCGCTGCCGCTGCCGCTGCCGCTGCCGCTGCTTCTGGCACCGCCGGAGCGCAAAAGAAGTTCGCGCAAGTTGGCTTCGCGCGACGCAATCTTTGGCAAGAGTTCTGGGCATTGCCGCATTCAGAGTGTGGCGTGCGCGAGTGTGTGGCGGGGCAAAGTGAGCAAGGGAACCAATCCATGGACGCCGTGCAAGGAGCAAGCTGGAGTGTACGCGAGCGAGCGAGCGAGCTCACCTTGCAACTTGGCATCCTTGTGTTGAATCTCCTTGATGCGATGCGTCACTTCTTGAGGCAGATTGTCCAACGATTGCAAGTACTCGACAGCCAGAGCTGCAATCTCTGCTGGATCCTCCATGTCTCGCTACCAAGCACGATTTGGCTTCGACTTCTCAAGGGGAGAGCAGAGAAGGGGGGAGGGAGATGCGGGTCGAGAGACTGATTGTGGGGGTTAAAGCTTGATGGGATGCGGGTAGGTAGGAGGGATGGTCGAGCGGTCGCTTGTCATCGTCACGACTCGTGATGCAGTCGTGAGGCCCGTCAGGATCGATGAATTCAACAATTGAATCTTGAATTCAATTCACCAATTCAAATTGCATGCGATCGGCCGGTGCTCAAGACTCACGTGACTGCAACTTCACAACGTGACTCGTGACTCTTGCACTCTTGCACTCTTGCACTCACTCGGCTCGCGCGCCATCATTCAGGACTTCATCCCATCCCCCCCCGCCAAGCACGTCGCTCCACCATCCTGTTCCTGCTCCTATTCCTGTGCCCCATCCCCCTCCCGTCCTCTCCCGTTCACGCTGCACATCGTCGCATCTCACCCCGACCCCGACTTACTCTGCCCCCAAGACTATCCAGCACGCGCAGCTTCACCCCTCTCATCCTCTCCAATCTCCCCAGCTGCTTCCTCCACCCAAACGCCCGCCCGAGAGCCAGCGAGCGACCACTTGCAGGGGGGAGAGGGGAGAGCATCCGTTGCGAAGTTGGCAAGAGAAAGAGAGGATCCCGTAGGAAGGCTGTTGTGAGGCTGAGGCGCAAGCTGGATTGGATTGCATCCATCAAGCTCCCAACTCCAACTCCAACTCCAACTCCAACTGCCCGCAGCAGCGCTCTGTGAGGGAGAAGCAGCAGCAGCAGGAAGGGCCAACTTCAAATCGCTACGCTACGCTAGGCTGTGCCTTGCGATCGCAGCAGATCCCCAGCACGTGCCATCTCTGCCTCGACTTTCCCTGTTCTGCATCTTCCTCACCCCAGCTCACCTCACCTCACCTCGCCCCTGCCATCCGCCCTCGACTCGGCCCGATCAGACGCACTGCACCGAGAAACTTCTGCAAGCTTGCTACACGCCGCATCCAGGCTCAAGCTTCAGCTCAGCCTCAGGCTCAGGCTCTCCCGACTCAGAATGTCGCAGTACCAATCTCAGTATGCGCCGCTAAGGACAGGATTCCTGGCACCACCGGGTCAGGCGAGACCTCGTGTCACCATCTCGCGCTACGCCAAGGATCAGATCAACTTTGTGCTGGACGGGGTGGACCTCTCGTGAGTTTTTGCTGCAGCAGTGCTTCCATGCTCGCTGCACCCTGCTCGCTTCTCCCTGCTCAACTCTTTGCTACACCACACGCTTGCACACGCGAGGCAGCTTTGCAAACGCTCTGAGGAGAACAATGATTGCGGATATACCCACCTGCGCGATCGATATGGTCGAAATCCAGGAGAACACTACAGCTCTGCCGGACGAGATGTTGGCTCATAGGTTGGGCATGGTGCCTCTGATCTCGACGGATGCCATGAGGAGCTTGGTGGATCAAAGAGTGAGTGAGAGGCGGTCACTCGCGCATCTTCTTGTGGGAGAGAGAGAGAGAGAGAGAGAGAGAGAGAGAGAGAGAGAGAGAGAGAGAGGAGAAGAGGCAAAGGAGATGATGAGACACGCATCCAGTATGCTTCCTCTACTGCTTCACTGATGCGCTATCCTCTGCGCTCGCACGTGCAGGACTGCGCATGCGAAGAGGGTTGCTCCAAATGCTCCATCGAGCTGACGCTCAAGGCGCGCGCGACCAGCAACATGAGAGCTTCGGATTCCATGCAAGTCACATCCAAGGATCTCATCCGGAGTCCCGGTTTAGGTCAGGGTGGACTGGGAGGACCTACAGATGACATCAACCCGTATGAGGAGCCTACACCAGAGGTTGCGAATAGGGCCAGCAACTTTGGATGTCCGGTGGGATATGGTGAGTGCGCTGGGAGAGAGAGGGTGGTCGTGATGTATGCCAAAGGCGCGAGTGCGAGACAAGAAGGAGGGTAGGGGCGCACAGCGCTGATACGACTTGGAACGACTCCTTGCTATCGCGACAGACGATGCGTCGAGCGACGGCATCATCCTAGTCAAGTTGAAAGCGAATCAAGAGATCCGAGCGCGCTTGGTCGCTCGCAAAGGATTCGCAAAGGAGCACGCCAAGTGGTCTCCCGTCAGCGCCATCGGTTTCGAGTACGATCCGCACAACGTCTTGCGCCACACTTCCTTGTGGCACGAGCGCGATGCGCTGGCGGAATGGCCGTTGAGCGAAAATGCAAAGGATGAGGAACCGCCGGCTAGGGATGTGGAGGGGAGAGTGACGGAGAGCTTCGACTTTCGAGCTAAACCTGGAAGATTCTACTTTGATGTGGAGACCGTGGGAAGCATGTCGCCCGAAGAGGTTGTCGAGACTGTGAGTTGAGCGTGTGCGAGAGGCAAAAAAGGGGGGGGGGGGGGGGG